TATTTGTGATATATTTGGCATCTAGAAAGTGTTTCTTATGTGATTGGCATGATTGATAACAATATACATGAGCTCTCTCTCTCTCTCTCTCTCTCTCTCTTTCTCTCTCTCTCTCTCTCTCTAAGCTCGTCAAACTCAAATCCTGACAAAAGGTTAGAATTCCAGCTTTTCCATGGTGATATCTCTGATGCCTCGGGCTTGCCCTTAGAGTTAGAATCAACATTCACAGATGTAACATACTTCATTATTAAGGATATAAAAATCCAGCATCATCAATATTGTCTGTATATAATTTACAACGTCTAGTTATTCTCTGTTCAATATTTTTTATTTGACGCACAGTAGTATTTACTTGTGGCATGCATGCTTTTAATTTGCTATCTGGAGCAGGAAAAGGCAACGAAAATACCTACGAGATCTCATGAAGAATGGAAAGTCAGACCCTAAAGCAACATTGTATGTCATTGTCATTTACATTAGAATTCTCTCACGCCTGCTGATTGGCTTGGCTATCGCAGATTCACTTTTGCCATTTTTTTATTATTTAGTTTTACCATGATTAAACATTATCATTCTTCTTTGTTCTCTAGCCATCCTTGGTCTTGTCTGGCAGAAGTTGCTTTACTGCATTATCACAAGGAACAGGTTGTCTCATTTTTGTGTTAAATAATTTAAGTTATCTCTATCTCCTAATGTGCTCTAGTTATTTATTTACTTTCTCCTTTGGTCTAGGGCATTGAGCTTGACCTTGTGAAAATGGTGAAAGAAAATGGCAAACTCTCAAGGTTAGAGCCAGGAGCATATCATCACATCTTCTTCAAGGCTGTGCACAAAAATGTTGATTGGCCCGACTTGCCCCCACAATTGTTTTTCGCTGAGATTTTTGACTGTGGTGTGAAACTTCATCCCACTCGTTGTTTTATCATTAAACCTTATGATGATCCTGGTAATGCTCCTAACATCCTTATCTGCTTTTTAATTCATAGTACAATCTCATCGTGTTATGAATATATGGTGCATACATATAGTCTTATCTTACCTATCAGGTGTTCTTAGTTAATGTGTTGTAATCTGTCCATGAAATCGCAACATGTGTATTTGTGGGTATCTTTGTACCTTGTTTGAAGAGCCGATGACTTATGTAGATATGGGCAAATGCATATTGTGGGGATATGCTTTATATAATGATTGTTATCATGATTGTCATCTTGTAGCAAGATCATTTCTTACGTTCAGATAAATTGAATTTGTTGAGTTATCCTAAACATTGATTATTTATGCATGTGAAAATCGTGTTATTTGTACTTCCATTTCTGATACCAGAGTTAGGGTAGTAAGTAATGTTACAATTTAAATTGCTTAAGGTGTATATGTTGTGGCTCGATACAGGCTTTCTTTCACCTTAGAATAAGAAAAACGTTGCAGTTGAATGTCTGTTGTTCCAATTTGAACGTTTTATCTTAGAATTCACAATTTTGTATCTGTATTTTTGCAGTAAAAGAAAAAAGAAAACTTGGTTGTGCCATATGTCCTGATGATGAAGAATTTCCACACCCAAGTACAGAGAGAAATTTTCTTGCTGGCCGTTTTCCAGTCGTTGAAGTTTAACCTGTGAGGGAATATTAGCTATATTAGAAATGGAATTGTTTTAATATGCTACTATTGACTGTCAGATGCAAGTATCTAACCATCGATCGTCACCAAATTTGAAGCTAAACATGGAAGTTCGAAACAATGAGTTGGGGAAAGATTATTTATTTTTTATGTGGTGTTACAATTTTTTTTAGTATAAAAATAGAAGATAAAATCAGTGCAAGAAATTTTATGAATCGGAAAAGAGGGTATAAGATAGGATAGGCAAGAGGGTCACTTACTTTAGTATAAAAAACGCACGGATGACTATCGGGTATAGGATAGGCAAGAGGGTCACCGACTTTATCTACACAATTTTGCACTTCTCGACAAACAATAATGCTATAGAGCTAATGGTTGGCTCCATAAGGGAGCCAACCATTGGCTCTATAGAAGGACTGCAGACACCAATAGAATTGATGAGCCGTATGAATTATATAGAATCACTGTTTTTTGTTAAGCTTTTTGACTGTGGTGTGAAAGTTAATCTCATTCATTATTTTGTCATTAAACCTAATAATAATCTTGGTAATGCTCGGCTGATAGTGTTTTATATGAAATTGGTCTTGGATAAATATGAAATTGGTAAAAAAGTGTTTTTCATTTATTTTGATATTTTTAATGTCAATGTTGCATCTATACGTGAGCTTAATGAAATTTGTACTCCCATTTGTGGGGATTTTTTTTTCATATTCGTTGTATATGTCATGTCTTAAATATTTGTGTGCAAGCGGGTTATCATGCTTTTTTTTTAAAGACTCGATCACACCCATTTAGGGATGGCGATAATTATTTACATAGACATCCCATGAAATGAAAAAAATTATTTAAATTTTGTAAATTTGATGGGCTTAAGCCTAAAAAATTCTAACTGAATGTTCCTGCCCGGTGGAACTCAACATGTAAAATGTTGAATGACACGTCCCAGTGGATGGGGCAGTTGGAGCTTTTTGTTCTTAGTTTTCAACGTAAGGACTGTGATGTTCGAGTTGCTATAAATGATTTCTTGAACTGTAGTGCACTTACTGATTTTTTACAAATATTTTAAAATGCTACTAACATACTTATTGGTATTTACTACCCTACTACTCAACTTGTTTTAAGTCAATCTACAGTCATAATATGGCGTTCTAAAGATTTTTATTTTAATGGTCCTAGTACTTAGTAGCAGACATGTTAAGAAAATTATTAAAATGTTATTATTTCATTCCCAATACATTTTTAGTTACATGTTTCTTTGGGCCGTGGATGCGGGCGAAAACGGGATGGATAGATCCTTCAGTAAGTGAAGCTGCCTTGATAAGCCAGCTTACCATGTATTATGATATTATGTAGCAACTCCGAATGTTGACTGATGTCCAGACATATAAAAACCTAACATAATGTTGTTCGTTAAGCAAACAAAGAAGTTATTGTATAAATCCTCTAGGGAAACAATCGAACTCCGAGAATCAACGCAGTCATATGTTTGTAGCGGCAGCGGCGGGTCTTCTTCTTATGGAGGGCATTGGGGGACGCAAGAAGCCATAAACTTTACGGATTGGTGGGATTTATTTAATCTCTACAAGAATGCTAGCATCCAAAGGACAAAATAGACTGGATACTATGAGCTCGATCACTACCTTACGTTGAATATGATACTTACATTTGCTCGCGAACCAACTCCACCACTTAATTTCGATGTCTTGGATTGATGGTTAAGAATGAAATACATTTTAAACTATTCCATGTGTTGATGGCCATGGATATTTTTTTCGTCCCAACATCGACAATTGCGGTTGAACAAACATTCAGTGCGGACGGTTACATGCTAGACATACGACGGTCGAGTATGGCGCCATAAAACTTGGAGGCACCAATGATGTTGATGGATTAGAAGAAGGCTGAAAGAAGGATGCAAATGACTATGCTTACTAATGAAGAGGATGCAAACGACAACGATAACGACGAGGACAAATACGATTTTACGAGTACGACGAGTGGAAACCGGGACCGCCGAAGACGACTACGACTATTAAAGTTAGCCACCCAAGGTAAGTAAAGTAACAGAACTACATGGACTTTGATTTCCAAAATAAGGGTTACGTAGGCAACTTAATTGACATTTATAAGTTAGAATATCAATTTTTGATCCAAAAAATTATTCAACTTAAATGATATTTAAACGTATTAAATATCAAATATGTCCAAGTCCATTTTATTGCCAATTTATACTTATATAAAAAGGCATTATATTACTAGAATTAGTAGTAAGATAAGTCAAAGGTAATTAATGCATTTTATTTCCATCAAGTATTTTATTTAATTATTTTAGTTAATTATTTTATCTCATAATACAACTTACCATGATTTTTCTATTGTGATTGAAAACCAATTTTTACGTTTAAAATCTTGTGAAATTATTACTATTATTTTTATGGAGCACATATTATTTGTTAAAAAATTATATATATATATATATATATATATATATATATA